TGGCCTGTAGAGGCCCTTTTTTTTTTCTTTTTTTTCTCTTTTCTCACCCCTTTTTTTTCCCTCTCTTTTTTCTTCTTTTTTTTCCCCTCCCCCCCCTGCCGCCGCTGTGGCCGAAGCAGCCTCAGACTTTGCACTGGTGGCCGAAACAGCCACTCAGCCGTGCTGTGGGCACCGCTCGCCCTGGCCACGGCGGCCCTCACAGCAGCGTCTGCAAAGTCTGTAAGTGCAGGAAGAACCAGGCTGATTCTTCCCGCAGCCTTGGCACATCGGCACTTCGATGAGCCTCGGCGGCTTACCAGCGCCAGCCTTCTGCTGCGCTTGGTATTGCGCTGCTCGCGCTTTTTTGTTTTGCGTCCACTGCGAGTCCGGACGCCGGCCTTGCCACGACGACTGCTGAGGCTGCCAAGCCGTGGACGCCTGGGGCTGCTGCTGCCGCCAAGCTGACTGGGCCTGGTGCCAAGACGTCGTGGCAGCAGCACTTTGCGCCCAGTAACTTGCGGCTGCGGCATTTTGCGCTGCCGACCGTGCCAAGTCTCTCACCTCCTCCAGCACGTCGCTCACCGCCGGCTCAGCGGCGGCTGAGGACTCCGCCGGCGTCGTCGGTGACCTGGACGGCGACGGCGACGACGACGACGCCGGCGGAGCCTTGCGCACGACGTTCTTTGGAGGGCCAGCGTCCCAGGCTGACTTTGCTGGCTGAGACTTGGCAGCCGTGAGCGTAGCCCGCCTGGCAGGAGGTGGCGGTGGCGGGGGCACCCTTGAACTTGGCTTGTTTGCGGCCGAAGCAGCCGCGCCGGTTTTGGGCTTTGCGGCCGGAGCAGCCGTTTTTTGTTTCGCAGTTTCTGCGGCCGAAGCAGCCGCGTCCGAGGCTGAGGAGGAGCTGTCGCTTTTTTCTTCTTTTTCCTTCTTTTTTTCTTCTTTTTCCTTNNTTCTTCTTTTTCTTTTTTTTCCTTTTGCAGCACAGGCTGCTGCTTTGCTGCCTCTTGTTCCGAGGCCTTTTGGCGCTCACTGGGACCAAAGCTGGGTTGCGCCGTCGTCTCGTCTATGGCCGAAGCAGCCATCTCTGAGTCAGTGGCCGGAGCAGCCACACTGATGGAGGAGGAAGACTCAACCTCCATCGCTGTCGCCGCTTGAGCCTCCGCGCGGGACACGAGCTTCAGTGGAGCCCGGGGCGGCGACTCAGACTCCAGCAAGATCTTCGTCGCCAAGCCCAGGTCTGGGGCTATGCCAGGCGGCCCAAGCTCGGCGATCTTCTCCCAGCCGGCGACGTTCATGCCCAGGTGCTCCGCCAGGCTTTTGAGCGGGCTGGTCTCGAAGCACCTGTCACGGACCCACTCGTCGTGGGTCAGGCTTGTCAGCCTGTACGTTTTGCCTCCATAGAGGCAAACCCTGGACGCCCGCCCTGGGAGTCCATCCCAGTAGCTGAAGCACTGCTCGGCCACGGCGTAGAGGGCGTCCTGGTTGTCGTCCACCATGTACTCGACCTGCAGCTTTGCCGCGACTGGCCCCTTCTCTCGCCGCGTCTTCGTCAGGTGAACGCTCAGGTTGTCCTCGTCGCCCAGCAGCGCATACATGAACCTCCGAACCCAATGGTTTGGGCTCGGATGGTTCACACGGCTCAGCACTGCCACCGAGGCCTTGTGGCGCCGCAGCGCCACAACAAGGAACGGCCAGGCGCCTTCCTGCGCCGACTTCCATATCAGGCCGCCCTCGTACTTGCTGTTGGTGGCTGACAGCACGCCGCCACAGTCAAGCCCAATCACTTTGGGCACAGCCATGGCTCTGAGTAACTTAAAAGTAAGTTTAAGTTAGTAGTTTTTGTCGTCCTTAGTTAAAAAGTAGCAGTAGTAGTAGTAGTAGTAGTAGTAGTAGTAGTCGTGTTGCTGGTAGTTACTCGGGGCCCTAAGTACTTAGTGCAGCCGACTACTATTTAACTGCCACCGCTAGTCCTAAGACTAACTGTTACAGCTGTAGTGGTACTGGTACTAGTACTAGTACTAGTACTAGGACTAGGACTAGTACTAGTACTAGTACTAGTACTAGTACTAGTAGTACTACTACTACTACTACTACTACTACTACTACGACTAACAACTA